AAAAATACTCCTATCCTTCATATCAATCTTTTAGAATCTTTCCACCATCAATGGTTGTTCTTCGTCCCGCACATGGTGGCCTATTGGCCACCCCCTTACGGACGTGCGTAGGACTAATGAGACCTGGGATCAAATCCCAGGTCCCTTCCCCGGAAAAAAAAAACAAAAAGTTTCCCACTGTTCAAAAAAAATCAATGGTTGTTCTTCAAGCAGCTACATGATTAATTAGCCAATCTGTTAGGATAAAGGCGTACCTATCATTACTTGCTTTAATCCACAAGAAGGAGCGCAGTTGTATGAGTTCAAATAGTTTCCCCCGGTTTACCTCTTTGTTATGGAATATCTTTTGATTTCTAACAAGTCACATGGACCAAACAAATTGGCTAATTAATCGTGGTGAAGGAGTAATCTTTTGAAAATAATAAATAAATTCATGGATTCTTATTTTAGGCAATGACTCAACTACCATTGGAGCTCTAAACAACCAACTAGTATTCTGGCCTGGACAAATTCTTTCATTACTTATTGGTTAAGACCTAGTTGGATATGTACTATTTTTTCTTTTTTCTTTTTTATTTTTTGTTTTTTAGTTACCTTAATATATGATGCTTTTTCTTTTGTGGAAAAGAAGAAAATTATGGACACTTTGTGACACAGGTGACCTTAACTTTACAATATATGATGCCTTTTCTTTTGTGGAAAAGAAGAAAATTAGCGGAAGAAAGGACAGTGGCCCAAAAAGGCCAAAAGCAAAACAAAACAAAACAAAAGAAAGGGCAAAATGACAAATACTGTGCTCTTAGTCCTCGTTCACTCAGACCTAACATAACTAATTTTTAATTTTGTTGGTGTTATACAGAGTGGAGAGCCATCATATATACATATATAAGGTGTTTCAAGTGGATATTATTATGGGTCTATTTAAAAATTTAGTGATGTTTCATTCAATTCTATTTAGATAGGTTGAATCTATGTTTTACTTGAATGGTCTTAATTCTCTTTATCCCATATATTTTACATATTTTTTCACTGGTTACTTTACAATTGGTAGTGCTATTATGAGTAATTTGGTCAATGAATCTTGTGCAGACTAAAAGTTTCTTTTCTCCCTTAGTCATGGAATAACCTTTAGTCATTGATTCCTACTTTTATAAATTGGTTAAAGACTTTTATGTCCATTTGGAAATTGGGAGTAAAATAAGCAAATCCTCCTTGTTTTGTTAGGTCTATTTCAATAGATCCTATAATGGCTTGAACCATATTCTACTGTCTTGTGTTTAAAAGAGTTAAAAAGCATTTTGTACCTAAACCCTTTCTATGAAGTGCTTTGACTCTTATAGTGATTAGTCTTATATGAACCAATAAATATTTCATTCTTTTGAGATTAAAATATTCATTTTCACTCGATAGTTTTAGGGTGAAACCATCACTATTTTTGACATAAGATATTTGAGTTTCTCAATAATGCTGAAAGATTGATTTAGCATTGAACAAGGAACTGGCTTTTTCATAAGGATACTTGGGTTTAACTTAGTCAAATTTATGAGTTTTAAATCCTAGAAAGCTACATACTATACTATGATTATCTAAAGTTATTTTTGGTTTTTTATAAGGATGAGATCTAAATAGTTTAAATTCATATTTTGCTGTTCAAAAAAAAAAAAAGTTTAAATTCATATAAATTTTCACAAAGATGAAAACTATTGACTAAGTCAAAGTGTAGTAATAGATAATAATACAACTACAATAATAAATAATATTTGACAATAAAGTTATAAATGTAAAATATTAACAAAAGATAAACTAAACACTGACAAGTACATAAAAAATAGCCCAAATTAGCAATAACAAGACATGCTGGGCGCTAGATCCTAAGTGGGAAGGTATTGTGTCAAAATTCTGTAATATTGTCCTGAAAAGGAGAGGCAAATTTTGTTATTGTTAGGAATGTTAGAACATGTTTGGGTTAACTTGTAAGAGTTTTTAATTTTTTTACATTGTTCATTAGTGATAAGTTTAAATTTTTATTGGGGAAAAAATTTAAAAATTACTTTTAAAGATAGAAAAAAGTATGTAAAAAGTGAATAAAAATAGAGTAGAAATAGAGTTTATGAAAAGTTTGAATTTAAATTTTTACTGTTTGAAATCTTTTTAAGGTTTAAAAAAAGTTTAAAAATATAAGTTTTTTTAAAAAAAATTTTAACTTATGAAATATGAATAGTATCAAAAAACTGAAGTACTTAGAAACTGAACAAAAAATGTCCTAATGGGTTATGGCACCTTTGTACCCAAAGAAATAAAATTTTTTGGCTTACAAAAAAAATAAAAAATAGATAAGAAAATAAATACAAGTTGAGAAAAACAAAAGACAGAATAACAAATTATTAGACAGAGTACTAACAAAAGAACAAAATAGTAGACAAATTTTGATCAAAGATAAAAACAATAAATATTGACTAACTAGTAAACAATAGCCTGACACTAGAAAAATAAACAAGATGAAAACTCGATGAATGATGGGTTAAAGCCAAACTGCTGTCCCTTTACTTTAATTTGTAATAAAAATTCAATTTAACCCTTCTATTAAGAAATTGCCTGGGGTCCTCCCTCTACTCTTCAAAAAGGGATCAATGTCCTCCCCCGTCCATTCCATCTCTAACGTGTGTTTTTTTAATCGTCAAAGTCACACAGTGAAACGTTTAACAAAATTTTATATTAATTTTTGAGAAAAAAAAGGACATCTTAGAATTAAAAATATTAACATCTCTAATTATATTAAATATATGAAATATAATATAAATTTTAATTTTATTAAATATGTTATATAATTATTATTAAACGTTTTTATTTTTAAATAACAGAACATCTTAAATTTTTCATTTTTCCTTATATTTTATGCAATTTAATTCGGTGCAGCCCACCAATGCCACACCCTACCCTAAATTAGTAAATTTCCATTACTTTAGAGTAGCTTTCACCATATGCGCGACTACCGATCACCAGTCCTCCTCCACTTCAGGATAGGGATCCGCCGAATCAAAACTCGGCCCATGGCAGACTAGGATATTCCCAACTGGCTCTCCCAAGTTCGTCTCCGCTACCGTTCTGGAGCCAGAAAGAAAGCGGAATTCTGAAAGTCAAAGAAATCTAGCTTCTCCATGTACCTTCCCGTCATTCATTTGCCTCTCCGTCATGTTCCTGGGTGCTATTATCACCACGACCAACCTTCTCAATACTCCTTTTGAAATCAAGAAACAAATCACTGACTTGAAGCCGGTTCTCGAGTTTACTATTAGCCAACTCGTCCCCAAAATTGCCGGCTCTCAAATCTCCCCATCGTGCTTCTAGACGAACAGGTAATTAATAATAGCCTCCACGAATCCAGAACTGTAGCACGTTGGATTAGACGATGAAGAAGGAACCGAGTTAGGGCAGATTCAAGGAACAAGTATCTAACCTAAATCTTCGCCAAAGAATTGAATTTGTTATATGACTGATTGTATGCAGTGTTGTGAGAACTTATGGGATCTATTGTACTTATTTCTTTCAATTTAATGAAAAGAAAATTTACCATGCCTCTGGGTTGTGAATTGTTGGTCCATAAGGAACTGCATGCATGCATTTGTTTGGATGTTGTCTATGTTTTCTGCTTTAATTTTTTTACAGTAATTTTTTTTTTTTTACTTTATCTCTCAAATATGGGTGAGCTCTAGTTAAAGGAAAAAGGGGGAAAAAAAATCATAAAAAAAGCTAATTTTTTGGAGGAGACATTTGATTAAGTGTTTTTTTTTTTTAATTTATAAATTAAGAATATAGGTTAAATGAGTATTTATTATATCTTTTTAGTATTTATTGTTTAAAAAATTACAAAAGCTAATTTTATTTTTAATACTAATACCATGTGAAATGATTTAATAGCATGGTTTATAAAATTAAAGTTAAATTTTATTTTTTTATATAAATGAATAGTATATAAAAAGTATAATAAATATACCTTTAAACAATAAATTTATTTGTTTAAAATAAGATATATGATATCATCCAAAGAAAAGATAAATGCTATATAAATTATTTAATTTTATAATTTTTATTTATAACTTTTACGTTATATTAAATGAAAAAATATATAATCTTA